GCACGGCTAGAATGTTAACACAGTATGTCACCTACGCTCTAGATGTATTTTCATCTGAACATATTTACTCTTTCACACATATCTGGGGCTCAGTCTGCGTTGAAAGGCATCATCACTTCTCAGCTGATAGCTTGCAAAGCGCCGGTATCTGACGGCGGCTGCTCGGTTTTTTCCGAGACTGCAGGGTTTTTTTTTTTCGCACTATCCTAACAGCTCGTTTCTGTCTTCCGTAGGGGGGTTAATTTGGTTTCGCCTCCTATTTGTATCTGACAAGCAGAGACGCTACCACTCGCTCCAGACTGACAGCTCCCCCATTTGCCCACATCGTTGCCTGTTGTCATCAGCATTCCTCTTACCGGAGCATGTGAGACTCTGAGAAATTCCTGCTCTAGTGCTCGTCAGTCCCCCCTTAACCGTACAGGTTTCTCTCTCTCTCTCTCCCTCTCCTGTTCCTCGTTTCTCATGTCTTTTGTAATCCATCTTCTGCACGCAAACTAGCACCCAAGAGCAGCCAGCTCCTATCCTCCAGCAAGGAAGGGTGCTTGCAGAGGGGAGACTGAAAAGAGAGCACGAAGAAGTATCTTCTGCGCCGCCCGTATTTCAGAAAGCCCCCCCAAAATCCCACCCGTTTACAGCACAGCCGGGCTTTCGTTGCGTCACTGACTTTTTCTTTCTTAAATCAAGCATTTGGCGAAGGCCTCCTGCAAAAGGCTAGGCCCAGGCGGGCCGGTTCTGGGGCGCGGACGGCGACGGGCTCGTGCCGGGCAGCCAGCGCGGGCCCGGGAAGAGGAACCAGCCTCCTCTCGAAGAAGCCCGCCAGCCAGGCAGTCGGAGACGAGCCGCGCCGGGAGCCCCCCAAGCTCGCAGGGCCCGGGCTTCAGAAGCAAAACCAAAACCCTACGTCTCGCGTTTCGATCCTCTCCGGTTTTCTTTGTTTTGCTCGCGCGCGCGTTCTTTCGAGATTCTCGGGCTCATTTCTTTTTCCTTTTCATCAGGGCGCCGCAAACTGTCGGAACGGACCTCAGCTGCAGAGCAGGAACAGACTGGGGCTCTGCTGTCCTCCTGAGCACGCCAGGGTCTGCCGGCTGCTCTGAGACAGGCCGCGAACTGCACTGGGAACGCGTGTTAATACTGCGGGGGGGTAGTGAACTTTCGCTCAAGGTGGCTGTATAAAAATAATATCACAAGCCTGAGGACACAAGCTACCCCGACAGCTCCCCTGACCAGAGGTGATTACTGACTCCTAGAGCTGTCCCTCACTGTACGGCTGATTACACTTGGCTTGCAGTGGTCAGCCTCACCGTGCCAGTGGCCACTCCTGGCCAGGGCGACTCTAGCTGATGGAGATGGAGGGGGGGGCAGCTCTCCTGGTCGGCACCTGTGCAGGGATGGCGGGGCGAGGAGGCACGCACACACACAGACACACACACACAGCGACAGCCGCACGTCTCCGTGCCCCAGCCGAGCGGAGCAGAGCGGCACACCGAATGTTCTCCATTTGATCTCCAGGTTTTTGAAATGCTCCGCTGGGAAGGAGCATGCTCCAGATTTTTTTTTTCTTCTTCTCCCTCCAGTTGAGGCGATCCCAAGGCATTTCCCCGGCACCATCCCACACTGCTGCCTCGGCATGTCTGATGTGTAACGTGCTGGCACACCACGAGCTCACCCAGCCCACGGCTGCCATCGTCGCTCACACTCATGCATGGAGCGCGCGCGCACACACGCACACAACCAGGTCACTCCGCGTGGAAGGAACAAAAGCACTTCTTTGAAACACAAATGGGGGTTGTCCAAACTACACCAGAAAGCTGCAACAGTGCTCCGGGAGGTCCACATTCCCTTATTCACAAGATAACTGCAACCTTCTGGATTAGCTGTCAGCTGGCCAAGCTTTGACAACACGGGCTGTCACCTGGATCCAGAGGAGCTGTTAATGGAGGTGAGGGCAGACAAGAGGGGCCCCAGAAAGGGAGACTTCCATTCCAACAAAGGGGGTCATTCTGCACACTGTTTCTACTGGCCGCGGCCCCAGACTCTTTCCACACCTCCTATCCTCCAGACTTGGCTCCAGAGGCCTGCGTGCGTTCTCCGACTCAAACCGCCCCCCTCCCCGTCGCCTCGGCGAGGACGCTGGCGTCATGGGAGAAGCAGGACTGCCAGCATGAGCCCCTGGCGAGAGAGCCCCCGACCCACCAGAGCCTCTAAGCGTCCCTGACCTCTTTGTTAGCACCATTCCTGGTCACGTCACCTGCCAAGGCAACTCTCTGGGCCGAAACGTCGGCGGCTCTACGCTACAGGCAGCGCCGCCAGGGCCTCGAGGCCAGACCGACGCCTTCCGCGCGGCCCACAGGAACGATTCAGACAAGCCTGCTGGCTGGCGTGACTCTCCCTTCGTGGAGACACTGCTGTCCGCAGTCCCGCCGCCCAGACTTTGCTGATGCGGAGCGATCAGGTCAATTTCCATACCCCACCAAAATTCACCTGAAGGCAACAAAAAGAACAAAGCACCTGACTGAAAAGGTGCTGTGCAACTGCTGCAGGCAGAGGACCTACAGGTAGTGGACAGAATAATGGAAAAGCCCGTGGGTACACTGAAGGGCTTCCACAGGAGTGGCTCATGTGTTCATTAAGCTAATAACATCCCAGCATGCTTAGAGTTGTTTAGAAAAATGCCGGACAGGCTGAGCTGCCTATAATTACGGCCAGCATGGCTGCAAGAGGAGACCTTGTGACTTTGAAAGAGGGGCGATTGTTGTGGCACGTTCGGCAGGAGCTTCGGTAACCGAGATGAGCAATGCTGTCTGAGGTGATGTTACCATGACACTCCAAGGGAAAGACATCAGTGGCAAAGGGGCATCAGAGGGCAGAAGCACAGACTCCAGCATTATGACATCAGCACTTTAATTTGAACCACAAGGCAGAATGGGTGAGCAGCTGCAGATACACTGACTGCACATTTCAACATGGGGAGCACAGCCAGTTTCATTACAAAGAGGAAATGTACATTTATGATTCCAGTGGTGCAAAGAGCGTGGGCCCTGGACTTCTGAGCAATAGAGACCAGTGACATGTGACGTCAACGTTCACCATATTCACGGCCAACAGACGAGCACCAGTGTGGCATCATCCATAAGAACTCTAGTGAAGGGTCCTGGTGGTTCCGTCATATTGTGGGACACATTTTCCTGGCATGGTTTGGATGCACTCATTCCCTTCGAAGGCAAGGTCACTGCTAATTACTGCTTAATAGTACTGGCTTGATCACCTTCAGCCCATGTTGCAGCATTTCATCCCAGGTACGCATTTATGGGATATTCTGGAAGAACATCAGAGACAGCTTTGTCTATCACCTTCTACTGGAGCTGACTGGCTCTCATGGAAGAATGGAGCTGCACCCCTCCTGTAGAAATCCCGATGCTGATAGACTATTGTACACGGTGGCCCAGCACCCTATTAAAACACTTCACATTGGTGTTTCTATTTCTTTGTCCACTACCTGTTCATCTACAAGAGCAATCAATATCTAATTAAGTGCTGTCTTACAAGCTCTCTCTCTCGTTCCAGAAAGCAAACACTGAGAGGCAACATTTTTCAGTCTCTCGCTTTTCGTATAGGATTAGAATTGGCTGGTTTATTCAGCAAAAAAAAACTCTACTCTTTATTTTGCTGGTTATCTAGTGTACAGGGGTTAAGATATGGGGGGCGGGGGGGGTAGTTTGGGGCAAGTTATTATGTATAAAAAAGTAGAGGAAATGAAGGAAATAAAAGTATAGAGACTCTGCTGCAGAAAGCCATTGCCTCATCCTGCTGCCAAGGGGTGTTGGAAATGAAAGCACAGTGTACAGCGCAGGCCTGTGCTCTGTGCCGATGGCCCCGGGAGAGCTGGAGCAGAAGTGGGCTCTCCAGACAACAGAGCAGCACTACAACGAGGGCAAACGGGCTGTTCGAACCAGAGTAGGACAAACTGCACCTCTATCACACTGCTTGTGAAGCACCCCAAACGGCCCGCAGGATCAGCAGCCTCTCTCCCGCACAGGCACTGAGCTGTCACGAGAAAAACACACACACTGTGCAGGCACGAGCACTGCTGCATTCAGACACCCCGACTGCATATCCATCGCACAGCACACCTGGGGCACCACAGCACACGCAGGCCTGAAACCCCTGCTGGCCCCAGGCGGAGGACAGACCGGAGCAGGAGGAATCAGTGAACACTCTCTCTTTTTAAAAAAACTACGAAATAATAAAGCAGGGGCTGGAATCCCCTGCAGAATCCACTGATTATTCTGCAATCTCCGGAACTGACAAGGGTGCTCCCAGGAGAGAGCAGATTTTATTTTTATATATTTATTTTTTTTCCCCCAACTTTCATAGAATTTTCCTCCCCCTTATCCTTCTCAGCAACACGTTGGTCTCTGCAGACTGGCGAATGGAAATCGCGTCTTGCGCCTCGCGTCCCTGTCCCTGCAGCAGGACAGCAGGTCGCGCGAGGAGTCTGTGGCCCTCGCCTCCCCCTGGCCAGGGCGGCTGGCCGCTCTCAGGCACGGCACAATCACCAGCCCCCACCTTTGTCAACGAGGGTCTCCGTCTTCGGACTTCACGGCAGGGCGGGAGAAAACCCACACTGCTGTGCTGGAACACCCCCGAGCCAGCCCAGTGCACCCTGGACTGGACCACCGCCAGCAGCTGTCAAACCCACTGGGGTTCTGGGTAAAAACTCAACTGAATCACGTGCACATGCCTGGAAACGTCTTGCATTGCTGCATTAGGAATCTGAAACCCCGAACCGCATGACTTTTTGCATCCTATTATTAATACTTAGCATTATAAAGTCCACATTGATTTTATGTCCTATGAAACCGAGAGGCTCTGCTGAAGGTTTCTGGAAAAGAGTCTCTCCAGCAGAGAAACTGGATACTACAGACTAATCCTGCAGCTCGCGCTGGAGGGAGAGGGGGTGTTCAAACCTCTTTAGCCACAGTGCTCGCATGGCGCCTTACCAGCCGGGCAGTGGTGGGTGCGATGCTCGGTCAGCTCCGCCAGGCACTCGAAGTCCTGCTGGCAGTTGTCGCAGGTGAAAATGGCCTCGTCGTCCAGCTCATCCTCGGCGGCCCGGTCCTCGTGGCTCGTCACGCTCTGGCCGTCCTCCAGCGCCCGCCGGTCCTTCCTCTCCGCGTCCCGGTCCGCCCCTGGCACATCTGCGCCGGACACGGAGACACACAGGGGTCAACCCGGCGCACGCGCTACAGGAGAGAGCTGACCCCCACGTCTGCAGGCTGACACGGCGCACGTGACCGTTCCCAGGTCTGCAGGTACATTGCGTTAGCAGTGTGGGTCTTACAGGGCAGTAGTGTGGAGCTGCGCTCAGAGCTCTGCACGTGTAACTGGAAGTTTAGGGAAGAGGAGCAAACTACTAAGTCCAAAATGACAACACTTATTCAATCAGAGAGAGTGCTAAAATCTGCTTTCAAATGTCATTTGCACAGTAGCGTGTGCATGAGAAAATCAAGAGCAGTGCCTTCCTAAATAATTACAGCCACTGAGCATCCTGTACTGTGTCCCACCCCTTCCAGGGTAAAGACACACTGCTGCTGCTTACAGGACAACCAGCTTGGGAAACGGCCAGCCAGAACAGTCTGCTCTGCACTCGTACGGTTACTGTGAACCAGAAGCTGTTTCAACATGTCTGATAAGTAAAGGACTAAATAAACGGGTCACATTTTAAAACAGTTTCTCAACAGGGCTCAAAACTCTTTTGTTACAGGGGCAGTAGTGGTCAGGGCTCGGGACCTATAACTGGAGGGTTGCGGGTTCAAATCCCAGATTGAGTGCTGTGCTGCTGCTGTACCCCTGAGCAAGACACGGCTCTCAAATCGTGCCACTAAAATAGATTTCTATCTGCTTATATAGATAGATAATCTGCGCTGGATAGAAGCATCAGCAAATTAACTCGTAAGGATAAAAATGCTTCCTGCACAGGATCACACAGCATGACCCACCACTCCACAGATCCAGCGAACAGTGGCTTGAGATGCCTTAGAAATACAAGAATTGTACAAAGTTCTAGCAGTACGATTAAAGACAGCAGAGCAATATCAACAGCTTCACTCAGGCTGCTCCATGAAAGCACTCTGCTGTGTGAATGAGTCTCCAGGTGACAATGAGAACTTTTGACTTTACTCATCTGGTCTTCTGTGTGGTCTGATTTTGAGCATTTTGCATTGAGCTCTAGTATTATTCAGTCTGTCTGCATTTCCTACCCCTTTAAAAGTACAATTAATTCTGCCCAGCAGCTCTGCTCTCTGACGTGTGTGTGCAGTTATGTAAAACATTTGGAATCTAAAACCAAAACGGCTTCATGCATTTGCACTGTATCAGAGCAAATATCAGAACGGTTGTTTCCGCTGATGCTTAAAAAAAAAAAAGGAGATGAAAGATGCTCAAATATCACAAAAGCGTCTGGGAAACCCTAGTGGCCATTCATCCCGTGTGTGGGGCTGTGGGAGAATCGTCTCCAGCAGTCCTCCAGCTTTCTTGTTCGTTTTCACACCTTATTATCACATGTTAAATGCTCTGATCCCAGGGCCAGTGCTGGGATCTCACAGAAAATGAGACTGGGCAGCGAGAGCACACCTTCTGCGAAGAGCTGAGCCTGGATAACAAAACAGGGACTAGGGATCCCGGCCCGAGGTAAGAGTTCTGTGGGAGAAGTCCAAAGAGAAGGAAGGAGATCAAGAAAGAATCCGTCAGCCACTGGTCCAGCTGCGTCAGGGACTGTGTGGGGCACTGCTGCCCAGCCCAGCTCAGCCCCTTGCAGGTGGGCCTGGCAGGGGGATTTTCTGGGAAGGAAGAGGCCATCTGTCCGGAGGCGTGGGAGCTGCCTGGCCTGGGGGCGAGAGCTGTCCCCCGACTGCCAGGACAGCTCACGCCCGCAGAGGCAGCAGCTGAGCTCAGGCCCACAGCCCAGAGCAGTGCGCACGCACCCACTACACCCACTGACTCGGGCTCCATCCCCATCTTCACTGCACAGGCGGGGCGGTGGCTCTGTGGCTCAGGATCTGCGCCTGTGGCTGGAAGGCTGCTGGTTCGTATCCCGCGGCCGGCAGAGGAATCCTACTCCGTTGGGCCCCTGAGCAAGGCCCTGAACCCCAACTGCTCCAGGGGAGCTGTATAAATGGCTGACCCTGCGCTCTGACCCCAAGCTTCTCTCCCTGTCTGTGTGTCTCATGGAGAGCAAGTGGGGGTATGCGAAAAGACAAATTCCTAATGCAAGAAATTGTATATGGCCAATAAAGTGATCTTATCTTATCTCCTCCCCCTGCTGACATGACACACGGGGTGAGGCGGACACCTTGTTTTACACACAAACTGCATTTCTATCGTGGGGGCATCCCCAAATCGTCCCTTCTCTAAGGAGTCACTAAATGCGTGGGGACATGGTGGAGAATTGTCCACACACTGAAGGGGAACAGCTTCCCACAGGCTCCAGTGCTCCGGGCCCAGGGGATGAGGGACGAGAGAGAAGCCAGGAACAGGAAACACTAGCCATCTTTGCAACCCGGAGTCACCAATATACACTCTGCAAAAGTTAAAGGAAATCCATCAGTGCTTTACTGAATAGTGTTTATTGCTCAGGGGCGCAACACATGGGTCACAATGCACAGACTGTGAGAGGAAAGCACAAGCACAAGCACAAGCACAGGACAGATCAGCCTCGTGTGCACATTTCCTGTGTCGCTCACAAGAGTCTCCCGTTTTTAAGGCTGGAGGTGGGGATGGCTTGTGCCCATGCAGGCAGGCGCAGTCGCACGGGTGGAATAACAAAAAGGCCTGAAAACAGGCCACATCTGTGCGCGCCGCTGCTGGACGGGAGCCACGCAGGGCCCTCCCACCCC